CCTCTCTCTCTCTCTGTCTGGCCAGCGCATGCGCCCTATAGCAAAAACCTCTTAAAAAAAAAATTTGAATAAGTACAGAAATTTTAAAGATCAAAACGAAAATCAGACAATTCTCGAACTTTAAACATTTGTGGTTAATATTTTTGGTATAGATAAGTTTCCAACTTTTGGTATAGATAAGTTTCCTTTTTAATGAAGTTTATTTATTTTCGGAGAGCGGAAGAGGTACACACTCATGGTAGGGATAGGGTCTTCATGCCATAGTCCTCCTTTCAGTCCTGCAGCCAGCCAGGGCTGTGGGCACACCTCTGGACATACCCAGCAGTACAGGTAGACCCAGGAGGTGTACCCTGAGTCCTCCTACATGGTCTGCAGCATCATGTAGCCATGTCCCCACTGCCTGTGCTGCCATGGCTGCACATAAATATTTAATGTGCCAAAGCATGCCTGTGGCTGAGCCAAAACTATAAATCTGACAGTTTGTTCAACTAGGAGATAGAGTTTCGAATTTATTGTGATATGCATCATCTTATCCCACCGACACAGGGATGTGGCGGTGCTGGGATGATCTGACCCAGCACTGCAGTGGGATGTGGATGCTTGCCTCATGCTCATGAAGAATGAGCGACTTGGACATAGAGAGGAGATAGCAAGTGGGAGTTTGTGGAAGGAAAGGGAAGGAAGAACGAAGTGGATCCTGGAAAGGGGATTGCAGAAGAGGAGCGGGGGCAGATGGTGGGGGAGCTTATCTGGTTGGAGGAACTTTGTCCCGGCTTGTTCTTTTGTGTGTTTGTTTCCCTTATGGTGGGAGCTTATTTCTCTCAATTTTGGAGTGGGCACAAAGGTTAGGAGATTCTTTGTCTAAAAGCTTTAGACCATAAAAACCATTGTCTCATCCTCTTCCCGGAATGTGGTGAGGCCTGGAAAATAGCCTTCGTTTTCGGTCTGGGTCACGCTGCCTAGGTCAGTCACTGAGCCACTGTTGTAAGCCGTCCCTCCTGAGCTAGTAGCCGAGCTGCTGTGTCTCCATCTTAAAACTTAGCTATTTTGTGACTCCATTTTGAGCCAATACCCTACCTTTATTTTTAGGGTCCCTTTCTCTTACCACAGTATAATTATTATGAAAAGTTAATCAGATAAGGTTTACTTTGGCAATAGAAATAGTCTCATATTTAATGCAGCACGAGTTCAGAATCTATCTTCCCAATTTGCATTCAGATTTAATTCAGATTTCTAGAAACTTGGTCTTTATAAAATTAGAAATAAATTTGAGAGACTTGTTTTACTTAGCTCTTAAAAATTAGGGGAAAAAATGACTTGAAGACCTTTGGTAATCATTTTCCTTTGGCTTTTTGTTCATTTTTTTTCTATATTAGGTTAAGTACTATTTGAATAATTATTTTCTCAAGATTTATTTTGCTGTTGTCAGTATGAACTCATCTTTAATGTAAATAGCACTTTCTTTTGAGAATAGCATCTTAGGCTATTTGTACATCATAAAAGCAGTCATTAACAATACATGGTGCTTGCAGGTATAGTGGAAGAATACCAGCTTCCCTATCATGACCTGGTGCCCAGTGACCCCTCCTATGAGGACATGAGAGAGATCGTGTGCATCAAGAAGTTACGGCCCTCATTCCCCAACCGCTGGAGTAGTGATGAGGTAAGGCTCAAGGTGACCGTGTGGCCAAGATGGACTCCCAGTCTTCTCTGCTTCTACCGAAATTCCGGTGCTCCTTGCAGAAATTCTTCTTTGTTTTCATGGTGATGATAACGGTGCTTCCTGTCAGGAGTTGATACGGAGATAAGTGCAGTGTATACATTATCTGTTCCTTTTTTCCAGTTTCATTCCATTTAGCCTCGTCCAGAATATATCGAGCAGGTTGGCATTTAGCCTGCCTAACAGATAACATTATTTCACTTAATCATGGTGTCCTGATAGCTGCCTAAGGGCTATTATTTCTCTCTAGCTCACCCTCTCTGTGTTTTGAAAGCATCATGATTTTTCTCCACTACAAACCCCCATACACCACACTTCCACTTTGATAACAGGAAAATGGTCGGTATCTGAAGAACTGAGTCTTCTATACCCAGAAGAGATAACAAGGTGACCAAGTTGAGCTGTCTGACTGTGCTGTATGTCCCTGTTAAATAGTGATGAAATGCAGTGTGAGCAAACCCATGTGCAACTTGGCTCTGAGGATGTAATGGTGAGACCCACTCTGGTCTGCAGAAGAGCCTCTGGGAAGGAGGCAGTAAGACAGGCAGGCCTTGTCAGTCCTGACACAGTCTCCATGCTCCATATTCCTCTCCCAGCCTCTCAACCTTCAGACGCACTGAGCCCCAGAATTCTCTGGCAGACTGGGTATTCAAGATGAGTTTGATGCATCCCCCCCAGGAGAATAAACAAACTCGTATTAAGTGTGTACCGAAGTTTCTGCAGACAAATGGACAGCAATATGTATAACCTAATTCTTCAGGATAAAATTTGTTTAAAAACCACCTTTGGTTCATTGGTTCTGTGTCTAGTTACCAATATGCTAAATAATACATATGTTTTCCAAGGACTGTGCAGAAAGCTTCTTGAGATGCTGAAGTTGTGTTATTTCAAAGCTGGTTATGGGCATTGGTATTACTTGAAATCCCGTGGCTGAAGATTATTAATGAAGTGAAAGTGTGCTTTTCAATAGGAAGACCAATAATTGATATACCACATGAGAATGCAGGAGAAAGTTTTAGTGATACCATGCACAGGTCATTAATCTTGTTAAGTGGTACGGTGTGTGATGCTATTATTGTGGTAGACAGCTGTGATTTAGGAATAACCATGTTTATTTGAATAGTATGGGGTGAGATAAAGGATTTAAGTTATCAAGTGTTGTAAGCAACCTGGGAGTGGAGAAGAATGCCAGCTCCCCAGGTATTTTTCTATGTGCTTCATACTGACTTCAGAGGCCCCTTCTTCAGGTGGTAAAACCACCTCCTTCCCAGGGAAGACCTGAAAATCTGTTTGAGTCTGTGTAATTTTCCAGGAACAGGAATTTTTCTGGAAGTTTACATTTACATGGTTGTAAAGGTACTTTTTCTTAATATATTCAGACTTCACAAACCCCAAGCTCAAAGCCAAATATCAAGTGCCAGCCTCGCAGATATGTTTCTCTACCATTACTCCAATTTTCCTCTTCCCTCCCACAGTGTCTGAGGCAGATGGGGAAACTCATGACAGAGTGCTGGGCTCACAACCCTGCGTCGAGGCTGACAGCCCTGCGTGTTAAGAAAACGCTTGCCAAAATGTCAGAGTCCCAGGACATCAAACTTTGATCGGAGGGAAAAGGACACATCTCTGCAGAAAGCCAGTAGATACTCCTCTGTTTGTGGTCAGGACAAAAGATGTTAAAGAAGTACTCGTCGTACAGCCTTGAGCAGCGTCCTCCTTCCCAGGGGTTCGGACCTCACTTCTCAGGGAGCACCCTGGACAAAGACAGAGATGTTCCCAGAAGCGCAGGTTCATCGTGTCTGTTTATAAGAGGGAGAAACCGCTTGGGTAACTTGTTCAAGATACGGTGCATGTTGCTTTCTAAGAAAGCCCTGGATTTTGGGATTGCCTTTTTTTTTTTTTTTTTAAGATGCTTTAATTTTGCCAAAATAAAACAAATAATGTAGATGTCTTAAGGTTTATAGTATTATAGTTGAAATAATAACTACAGGAGTTCTTCCCAGAAACAAAGCTAGAAGGTAAATTAAAATATGGTTGCTCTCTACAAACCAAAAGATGGTCTGTGAAGTTGGAGAAGGTAGAATAGAACTTACCAAAACACTTCTCCCTGCTTGGCCTCTGCTGACCACTCGGCCAGCTCTGTGTCTGAGGCTGCCACAGCACTGTGAGTGCACCTGGGCACAGTACCCCTGTCTGGGACACAGTTTGGAACTCCCACGGGTGGCCTTTTGCAGCCTCAGACATTGTGGAACAAATGAAGGTTTTACGTGGCTCTGATAGAAGTAAGTGTTGACAGGTGTTTTTCAGAACCACATGGTGTTTCTGGTTGTGTTAGGCGTGTCTTTCAAGGTAGAATCCCTTGCTTTTCATTAAACACAAACAAAGCCTTTTCATGTGCAGAGAACTGACCTGTGCATGCTTTTGATCTCTCAAATCAAAGGATCGATATTAAATAAAATGGCCATGAGTTGTGTTGAAGGCCAAGTGCTTTACAGCAGAGAAAATATTCTCTTGCATGGTAAGAAACACGTGCAAGGTAGAGGAGGAGGGTGAGGATGCAGATGGCTCATTTCAGATCTCCAGGAGAAGCCAGTTTCTGAAGCACAAGCCAAAATTAGGCACACCTTATTTAGGGTAGTTAGAGATGCTTCCTTTCTGTTGGGATCTGCTTTTTGGCTTTGTTTCGTGTATCTGAGTTAAGGCATGGAGAAGAAACAGCTGTCGGGTTAATGTAACTAATTTTAAAATAGATAAATGTCACCTCCTGATGGGACAGCAGAAGATCATTAGCGGAGGCCACAAAGAAGTTTGGCTGCTGCGATCCTAGAATAGATCCCGATCAAGAATTTCCTGCGTTAAGTGGTCATTTCACACCTTGGGATTGCTGACTAAATTTATTTTATTCTTACGGTGTTCAACTCACTGTTTAATTTATTTTTTTCCCCTCTGTGGCACTTGTGCAAAACATCTCTTCACCTTTTTCCTGTGGGGTTTTAACTTTTGAACAAAATGATGCAGTCATCAACAGGGCCAATATTCCTTAGCAGCAGGCTTATAGTAAAGCTAAAAACTGAACATCTCCTTCTCAACTTTCCTCGTGTACATTTCCTTACTGTGGTTTTCTTCTGCTTCTTAGAAATTCTGTCACCGCGGTGAGTAAGAATTTGGAAGTACTTCCCCCTTGGCCTTTCGAAAAAAGACATTCCTTCCAGAATACTCCAGGGGGCAGTGTTTCATAACACATTTTCTCCACTGGCTGACGGAAGGATGGAGGATTTTTGAAAATTTGACAGCTACATGAAAAATGAGAAAATATTTTCCTAACTCCTGAAGTAGGACTGCAGCTGGTGACTTGTTCATCCAGAAGACATCCTAGGGCAGTGAGTGTGTGAGAGCTGTGCTTACAGCGGGGGAAATCAGAAGGAGAAATGTCATTCTTGGTTCCTCATCCAATTCCCAGTGCTTTCTAGCAACCTTTTGTTTGCAGCTGAGGAAAAAGAATTTCTTAATCCTTGAATTGGGAAAAAAATTTAAAAAAGTTCTTTTTTTTTTAATTAAAAATAGTCGATTCGATTCCCAGTGTTAATCTGACCAGAATGCTGCTCTTACTAATAATTATAATAGCAGTGAGATCGTTTCATTCTCTCGTGTTAGATTATTGGGTTGTTGGGAAAGTCATGGTGCATTTTAGCATAGCAAAACATAGAAAAACACATCATGATTTTCCCGACGACCTGATACGTTCTTTGGGATTGCTTAGAAGAGGAAGAGGTGGTTCGAGCTAAGTGTGGTGAACATCTGAGCCTTGAGAAACTTCAGTGCCTCTCATCAGCTCATCCGCGAGCGAACACATAAACATGTATGCCAGTTTGTGTTTGTGTTTCTTGTATTTCTCCTCAATTTAAGCAAGATTGGGCTTCCCTCTTAGAGCAGATAGTGTTTTATTTTTGGTAAATTCTTGAGAATGGATACCTTCCAACCAGAATATTTTGTGGAGAGGCGATGGTTGGGAAGTGAACTGGATTTCTAGGCAGGTGTTGGTTACAATGACGAATGGCAGGAAATGAAAATAACCTTCAAATGTCCTCTATGTTATCTGTTTGGTTGCTTTGGAAACAGTCCACGGCTTATTTTCCAATCCCTAACTTGATTGATTCACTAGCAACACTTAAAATTACTCTGAGATACCTAAAAAGACCCACTTAGCTATTACAGTGTTTCAGTGAGACCAGTTTTTTTTTTTTTTTTTTTTTTTTTTTAAACTTTTTTTTTTTTTTTTTTCTTCT